CTGCAAGGAAGAGAATCAATTTCTTTCTCAAGGAACTCAGAGTTTCCTTATAGAGGCAGAATATTCATATGTGTAAGTATAGAAAAAAATGCAGTATAGAATTCAATAGTGCAATGTATGGAACCCATAATAGGATCATGGGAAAGGGAGAAATTATTAGACATTAGGACTAGGGAGTGTCACAACTGGAAGGGACCTTGGATATCACTTTATACAACCTGGTCATTTGACAGAGGACACCAACAGAGGGGAAGTGATGTAAGGTCTCATCCCTATGTGGTACCCAAGCTCCCTCCACATCCCTCTATGTGAGGAAGATTATGTGACTAATCTCAGATAGGGTTGAGAGGCTCAAGACCTAAAGGGTGGCTGGAATTTAGAAAGAAGAAATGACACTCCAGAAGTGGAAGCCCAGGAAAATATGGTGAGGTCCCATGGTCAGAGCTTCAGAAGTAGAAGGGACTTTAGTGGGGATCTAGTCCAATCTCCCCATTTTGCACTTGAGGAAAATGAGCCCCGGAAAAATAACATGACTTGCCCCAGGCATACAGGCTCTTTGTGAATGAGCCAGGATTTGAACCCAGATCTACTGATTCCAAGCTCAGTGCTCTTGATTGAACCTTGCCTATGTGTTTATGACAAAGAGAATTCTAAGTAGCAGTTTCAGTGCCTAGCATAACCACTGCCCATGTCAAACAATACCAATATGAAATGTGCTTCATAATTCATGATATAAAAAGGAATACAAAATGTGATTGAGACAAATTAAGTTGAGTTTTGTTTTTAATTTTGATGGGGTACTAAAGTGTCTGACGGTATAGATTCAGAGCTGGAGGGGACATTGGAGGACACTTCATTCAAGCCATTGCATTTGAGCTTGCCATCTTCTTTCTGCTTCACTAGAAGCAGCTCAGGGAGATGCCCTCTCCTAACAGTCTGAAAAAGGAGAAGCATTTCTGCCTTTGGAGGGTAGTTAAGAGTAAGAGAGAGATTATATCTCCTAGAAAGGAGGAACAGGAATGGAAGCTCTGGGGGGGAAATAGGGTAGAGCAGGACAAATTGGACATTTCCTTATGTGACAGTGTGAGAGAGGGTGAGATTGAGCAGGCTACAGTCTGCTTTTCTCCACAGCCTCCTGGAACTAGACCCTTATTTTTTCCTATTCCTTAACCAGTCTTTGAACTATTCCTCCCTGGACTTATTCCTACTCTGCTGAAGGAGAGCATGTGTTGAAATTGTGAACCCTCTAATTTCTGCCACCTAAATTTCCCGCACCCTATGGCAAAGCCTCATGTATCTGGCCCAGTTATACCTTTGACACCTGTGGTTCCATAAACCCAGAGCAGTACTAAGAAAACTGTCCATTAGGATCTCGGCTTTGGGGCAGAAGGAACATAGTCCACATCATACACTAGGGATAAGTCACATGAGACTTAGAACAGGAATGTAATTCCTAATTGCCCATGGAAGAGCCAGATTCCATCTGGCAGGCCGAGGGAGAGACAGAGCAGGCTTCATGAAACAATTCACGGAAACAAGCCACCTGCCAAGTCCAACTGCTTAATGCAGAGTTTTCCGTGACAAAATGTACTCAGTGGTGACGAGGGGGTGCTCCTCTCCAGCTCTGATTGCATCTTCTGGGCACAGCCAGGAGCCCGAGAACGTGGTTGGGAAAAACTGTAGCTCTTGTCTGGGCAATGACTGCCAAACACTTCTCCTTTGGTTTTCTGCTTTTTTCTCCCTCATAACGCCTCTAATGAGGGTCCTCATGTGCCGCAGGCTCTGTTAACTGGGGAAAGAATTGGTAATCTTCATGGAAAAGAGTTGGGATGAGTCAAGTGGGAAATAAAGAAACATTGGTTCCATTGTGCTGACCTCCGAGAGTGTCTCTGTCTGTCTGTCTGTCTATCTGTCTTCTCTCTCGCTCTCCACCTCACTCTGTAAAATGAGAGGCAGTGGGCAGGAGAGTGGTGCTCAGAACAAGGAAGACCTTCATTTCATTCCTGCCTCTGATATGAACTGACTGTATGACTTTGAGATAGTCACTGAGTTGCTTTAGGCCATTCTCTAAAGCTCTGATTGCAAAGATGATGAGCTGTAGTAGCAGAGGGAGTCCTTCATCTATGAGTTCCCTACATCAGTGAATAAATCCATCTCCACATCTGCCTATCTATCCATCTAACCATCCATCCATCTATCTATCCATCAATCCATGCATCCATCCATCCACGTCTCTGAGAGGGAGAGAGGGAGAGAGAAAGAGAGATAGAGAGAGAACACTTCAATTCTGTCTTTGTTTTCATTTCAGGTCAGAAATTTACCCATTTATTTAACAAAAAAAGAGAAGATTCTCCATCTGCTTAATCAGACATGTAGTTTTCACTGAATCACCATAGATTGTCCCGTGGAGAAGTCTGCCCAAATTTTGGGATAATGTCACACACACACACACACACACACACACACACACACGCACACACACACATTGCTATAGGCATAGTGACTACTGTTTGAGAAAGGAAAAAAAATGAAGGTCGATGGCCACTTAACCACAATAACTGTGGCCAAATTTCTCTATCACTTGCCAGCC